ATGTGTAAGATTTCTGCCCTCCCCAGTTTATATCCCGACCCTTCCTGCCCATTTCGCGGGTGTCCAAAATGGCCCTTCATCGGCCCCAAACTTCTGAGAAGTCTTTGTTGCCTCCTGCCCTTTACAGAAGGGCAACTCCGAGCCAAGGAATCCGCACTCCCGCTGAGTAAAAATGGGTAAAATCCCCATTTTACTCACGTTGCAATTCGAGGCTTGGGGCAGTCCAGAGAAGTCCTGTAGAAGATAAACCAATCTGCTCCCCTCCCCACTCCACCCCACCCAGTCACCGCCACCCCTGGGGCTAGAGCGCCCAAGCCCTGAGCTCCACTGTTCCTCCAGTAGGGGCAGGAATGCAATGCGGAGAGTTCAGAGCAAAAGGTATGGCTCCTGATCTGTCCTCTCTTTTGAAAGAAAAGTGCATCTGCTGTGCCTTTCCCCAACCAAGGACCTTCTACCCAGCTCAGTCCTACATGCCCCATCTCCAGAGTTCCAGCTCCGAACTACAGGGACTGGGCAGTGACTCCCCGCCCCTCTCCTCCCCCCCAGTGCTGGAGCACGCCCCCCTGCTTCGTCCGTTCATTTATTCACTCCTTCAGTCATTCATTCAACAGATATCACTGAGCAACACCCTGTGCCAGGCACTGTAGTTCCTACTGGGGGGACAGTAGCCATGAACTCACTTTCTAATAGAAAACAGACAATAAACCAAACCAAGTAGATCAACAAACGTGAAAATAATGACATATCAGCGTAGATACTACGGGGGAAAAAAATTAACAGGCAGATAGGACCAAGCAGTACCTACAGTAGTGAAGGAAGGTCTCCCATAGGAGGTGGCACTGAGCACTTGGCCTTGACAAAGAAAGGCTTTTCATTGGCACTTCCCTTTCCCCAGCTGTGTGGGGAGCCCTTAAAGGGGAAAGATGCTTCCAGCCCTCAGAGGAGGAATTGTGAACCAAAGAAAAAGGGGGATAACAGTACTGTGCCTGTCAGGGGATTCAGGGTTCAGGACCTAAATCAGGGGGACCCTGCTGAACCCCACTGTTCCTGGTACTTAGTGAAGGAACAGGAAATACAGAGATTGGAAAGCAGAGGCTGGGGCCAAAACGTGGCTTCCGTGCCCTTGGAGTTGCCAGAGGGCTGGTAACCTACCTATGCCAGAGAAGTGTGGGAAGTGAGTGGGAGTGGCTTGGCTTTCAGGAATGGACGGAGGGATGGTGGAGGGATGGAGGGATGGAGGGATGCAGGAATGGATGGATGGATGGGCTGCTGGATGAACAAATGATTGGATACACACAAATAGAAATAACCAGCTACACTTATTGGTGTTCTCTCCTGAAAGATGCATTTTGGGGGAAGGCACTTGGGAGAGGGGCTCATTGATGGTTTTCATGAGGCAAACATCACACCCACCATGTTCTCACGGGGTCACAGGCAAACCCACACACAGGCTCGTGCTTCCTCACCCGCAGCAAGCGCTCACTGTTTCTGAGTCCACCCATAAGATACAGCGTAGAAAGGGAGAATTCTGGCTCTCAGGATGGTTCCAAGGATTCAGGACCTCAGTGCATCAGAGGGGTTCCAGCAGAAGGCATCAAAGGCTGTGGCCACTTGGGTTTGAAATTCCCCCAGGTAGCTGGGGAAAGGCTGAATAATGTGGCACTAATAAAACAGGTAATGAAAGTGAGAGCAGGTAGGCAAGTGTGTAGCAGGACTTAGAGAGGTTTCTGGGGAATATTGCGTACTTACAACTACACCTGTCTTGCACCTATGCATTTTGATGCTTCTGGTCTCCCCCTCATGCCCAGACCTTCAACTGGAGGGGTGGGGGAGAAGTAGAGGGTTCGCTGCCACCACGGGGGTGTTTGTGGGCAGCTCCTGTGTGCATGGAACGGAGAGCACTCCTTGGCCAAGTTCGTTCCTAAGCCTCTGGACCACATGCCGTTTTCTTTCATTCATTCAACACATATTTTATGAGGACCTATCATGTGTCAAGTCCTAGAGTGAACAATACAGGCCTGGCCCCCGTTCTGAGAGAACTCTCCATCTTGGCAGTCCCTGAGAGGTCACAGACTCTTAATTTTGTTACTTAATTTCTGAAAAGGGGGAAGGATAAAGGAAACCAAAGACCCTTGGACTAGTACAGTAAGGGACAGTGGATAGAAACCTGGGTCCAACAGCTCCGGCTTTAATATTTTATTTCACAAATATTTCTGGGACACCAAGCATGGCAGACACTGTCCTCTAGGAACTTCTGACTAGCGAGGTCAGGATTCACACTGACCTGAGCAACCAAGACAAAAACGGTGTCCGAGATAGAGACTCAGCCAAAGGGAGCCCCAGATCCCACTGGGAGATATGGGAAGGCTTTCTGGAGGAAGGGTCCCTAGTTGGACCCCAACTCGTTAACAAGATAAAAGTGCAGGAATGAGATTGGAGAATTCCAGGTAGAGGAAACCGCTAGGCTGCTAGGCTACTAGGCTACGGTGCACAGGCAGAACTTGGCAAGCTCTGAGAACTGAAAGAAGTCGGCTGGACCGGAGTATTTGGGATGCTGGGAGGCTCATCCTCTTTTTACTATCTGAGCTTGGGAAATGCGATGGTTTCTTGGAGTTTCAGTCTGGCCATCTGCAAAATGGTAGGACAAGGTGAGTGATGTCACATTGTTGGGAGGTAGTAAGGGGAAGGTCCTGTGGATGGCTTCTGTCACAATAGGTCCTCAAAAAATAGAAGATGACTTATATCTGCATGGCTTGGGTCTGCGGGCCAGAGAGCTTGGATCCCATGGGCCGTGGGGGAGGGGTTCAGACCTGTGCACCCCGGCCTAGGTTTTCGGAATATCTTTATTAACGAGCACTTCAAGGTAAGCCTCGATGGAAACCAGATGTGAGATCCAGCAGTCGGCGGCAGAGCAAGGAACAGAGATACCAAGGGAGTGGGGTAGGGGTGAGGATTAGCCCGGTTGAGGTTGGGGGTAGAAGCACGACCCTCCAGGTATTTTTTCTTTGGGAGACCTTAGGTGCAGAAGATTGATTTCTGACCCACATCCCTGGGTTCATGGCGCTCAGGAGCTCTCTTCTTTTAGTTTGCCCCTTCACCTCTCACCCCATCCCCCCCTCCTTTGAGGTAAGTCCTCAACCCCCGGACTTTCCCTGCAGTTTATCAAAAGCTGCTCGAAGTGGTCTCCTTGGAACTGAATCATTCCCCAGTGGGAGACCCATTTCCTCTGCTCTGCTCTTTGCGTTTTCGCTGTCCCCAGTGCCATCCCAGAACCCAGGGAGGGACTAGCCCCAGTACCAGTTCCAAACCGGGGCCCCGCCAGGTGACCACACCTCTCTGAGCCTCCGTTTGTTCATCTAAAATTGGGGATCCCGGGGCGCCTGGGTGGCTCAGTGGGTTAAGCCGCTGCCTTCGGCTCAGGTCATGATCTCAGGGTCCTGGGATCGAGCCCCGCATCGGGCTCTCTGCTCAGCAGGGAGCCTGCTTCCTCCTTTCTCTCTGCCTGCCTCTCTGCCTGCTTGTGATCTCTGTCAAATAAATAAATAAAATCTTAAAAAAATAATAAAATAAAATTGGGGATCCCAACCTCCACCTGTCATCAGTTGTTGTGAGACAGAGCAATTGATGACCAACCCCAGGGAAAAGGCTAGACGCACCCTAAAATTCTCTCTTGCTCTGGTTGGTCCCAGCTCCCCGAGGCGCGCGCTGCCTAGGGAAACCACAACCCACGGGCTCCAAGCCATGGGTTTTACAGATGGAGACAGTGAATCTAGAGAGAGACGAGGCTGCTTCACCTTTAGCCCAAGCCATGAGCAGGTGACAGAGAAATGACGATGGGACGGGCTCAGCCAGCAGGTCTCCAAAATCCTGGCTCAGAACTCCAGGACCAAAAATCCCCTGGGCTGAGTGCAAAGGGGAGGAGAGCACAGCTCTGTCCCAGGACGGGAGGGAGGAGACCGAGCTCTAAGGCTTCTGTAACCTGGCCCATCATACAGTCCCCTCCACACCCTGCCCCAGCGCCCCTGTAGGGGAGGGAAATAGTTAATTGGACAGGAGAGTTGCCGAGCACTGGACTACCAGCGGCCGGGAGGTGTGTGCTAATTTCGTAGAGGAACGGAGAATGGGAAAGAGGGGTTCGAAGCAGAGAAAAAGGCACCCATGGGAAGGCCCAAAGCTGTGCCGACAAATTTAAAGGTCAGTGTCCCAAGGACTCGGCCTTATGGGGAGGCTAGCGAGCCTTCTGACTCTGAAAGTGAAAACCTGTTAGGTGTTTTTTGTTTCTTTTCTTTTCTCTTTTCTTCTCTCTCCCTCTTTTTTTTTTTTTTTTTTCCTTCTTTTAATCTGTCACTAGAGTTTTGCCTCCCCCCTCCCCAAGGCCAAAGCTGGGACCTGCCAATTCTCAGCCTAGTCTTCGCAGTCCTAGGATCGGGTCACCTCTCCCACCGGGCCTAGAATCGGAAAGGCCCTCGGGCGCCTCCGGGTTTAATCCCAAGCGCGCGGGTTAGTAGCATCTCCGTAAGAGAGAGGAGGGGAGGAGCAGGGGGTGTTAGGAGAGTAGAGAGGAGGGGTGGGAAGAAGGAGAGAAAGAAGGAGAGAGTTCAGGGGGGGGAAAAATTCACTCTCCCTCTCTTCTCACCCCCACTTGAAAATCTTAAGAGAGTTTGGGAGAGCTGGTCAACTTTCCGAAACATCTGAATCTTTTTACAGCCCTCCGTTCTTTCCCTGGGCCAGCTGTGGGGAGGGAGAAGGAAGAGAGAGGAGGAGGAGGGAGGAGAGAGAGACAGAGAGACACACACACACACAGAGAGAGAGAGAGAGAGAGAGAGACGAGAGACGAGAGGCGCGCGCGCGAGAGAAGTGCAGGGAGGAGGGAGAGCGAGCAGGCCGGCGCGGAGCGCAAGGCCACCGCCTCTTCGCCTCTCCAAACTCCCGGCCAAGGCGCGCGGTGGCGTCCTCGCGCTCTCGCTCGCGCCCCCGCCCGTCGCCCGCGCAGGCCAGGCATGAATGCTGAGACTTGTGTCTCTTACTGCGAGTCGCCGGCTGCTGCCATGGACGCCTACTACAGCCCGGTGTCGCAGAGCCGGGAGGGCTCATCGCCTTTTAGGGCATACCCCGGCGGCGATAAGTTCGGCACAACTTTCCTCTCGGCCGCCGCCAAAGGGCAGGGATTCGGAGACGCCAAGAGCCGGGCCCGCTACGGCGCGGGGCAGCAGGACCTGGCGGCACCCCTGGAGAGCGGCGCCGGGGCGCGGGGCTCCTTTAACAAGTTCCAGCCGCAGCCGCAGCCCCAGCCGCCGGCCCCGCAGCAGCCGCCGCAGCCGCAGCCGCAGCCGCCCGCGCAGCAACCGCATCTCTACTTGCAGCGCGGCGCTTGCAAGACTCCCCCGGACGGCAGCCTCAAACTCCAGGAAGGCAGCGGCGGCCACAACGCGGCCTTGCAGGTCCCCTGCTACGGTGAGTGCACGTGCGGGGCGCTCGCGCCGGGGCGCCCGGGGCCGGGGCTTCGGAGCCCTGGAAACCCGCTGGGCTGGCTGGAGGCCGGGCTCGGCGGGCCGGGTAGGCGCGGAGCCGAGCGGCGGGGGGCTCGGGGACGGAAGACGGGAACCGGCTGTTGCGAGGGCATCGTGGGATCCGTCCTGCCACCTCCATCTCCCCACTCCGAGGGCTCGGAGCGGTTTGGGCTGTTAAACCTGAGCCGGAGTTTGTTTGTCCCGGTCCTCGCCGGTTCCCCAGACCGCTCGCTTTGCGCGGCTCGCGGGGCCGCCTCCGAAGCGGATGCTTCGCCCGGCCAGCAGCAGCGTTGGCGCGGCGCTCTGGCGCGGGGGCTCCGGGGCTCCGGGGCTGCCGTGGCCTCGTTCCCCCGCAGGCCTGGAGGCTCCCCGGGCGACACTGCAGGTGGGAAGCGTCGCAGGTGCCGAGCCCGCCGGGAGCCCGAGCGCAGAAAGTCGGTTGAGTGCGCCCGGGATGCCGTGGATCAGGGACGCCCCAAGGGTGCGGGGCCGCAGACGCCTGGAGCCATCGAAGACCCGAGTTCGCGCCCCACCCCACACATCCCCCACAAGCCTGGCTCCCTCGGGGAGAGAGGCAGGCCGGCTGGCGTTCCGGGCGGGTCTCCTCCCGCGGACCTGGGAGGCGGCTGGCCTCGGAACAATGGTTTAGGACCAACCCGAAAGAAAGCAGGGAGCTGCAGAGTTATGGGCAGCGCAATGCTGGGGGAAGAGGGAAGCTTCTGTGTTCTGATTTGGGCCCACAGGGAACCTGAGGCCTAAATGACCTCCAAGCCCCCTTGAGCTCCCAGGCAGGAGGCAGGCCTGGGCCCCCAGAGCTTAGCAACCATGATGGAAGAAAGGGCAGCCTGAGGCCAGAGCGGCTCAGGAGCCTAGGCCTCCTTGCCCGCTGATTCGGGATTGACAAGCCCCAAGCTGGCAGCGAGAGCAACCCAGAGGGGAAGGAAAAATCTTCTCTGGGCTAGGAGCCCTGGATACACACACTCCCTGAGGCCTTGGCCTTCTGGGGGGGCTTGGAGATGAGCTGGTCCTGACACAGCAATGGCTTTGGCTTCGCTGGTCCAAGCTGGAGGGAGAGACACCAGGACTGTGGATAGATAAGGGACATGGTGGAGGCCTCCGTGGTTAGAATTTCCTTAGGAAAAGGGCCCATGGCAGACACTTTCCTATATTCCAGCTTGCTCCCGGAGGCTCAGAGCCTGTTCATTAGGTGGTCGTTGACACAAACATTTGCACAATCATACACTTGACTACACACAACCTCTTCCTCGTGAGCCAACATAGTCACTCACTAAACACACTCACTCATGGGGCCTCACACACAGTCACACACTCCCAAACCCACAGGACAGGACTGAGAGCAGACTGAGAAACATCCAGTGGCCTTTCCCCACTTCCTCCACCTTTCCTCTCCACCTTCCTGCTGGAATGACATCAGGCACTCAACTCAGATCACAGACATTCATGACTCCGCACAGGTGCTCCTTCCCCATGCGGCAGCAAGAGGTTGTCAGCCCCCGTCAGCAGTCAACACGCCCCTGCCTGCCAGGGCTCCCTCCTCCAGGCCTCCTCACCCCGGCCCCTCCTGGTCCCTGTCACCCCGACTACTAGGTGAGAGCAAGTCTCAGGCTGGGGGACCGGTGGAGGTCCACTGTGCAAAGCCAGGGGCCTCATAGGCTTTCTCTCCCACTATACTGGATTTTCACGTTTTAAAGAAATCCACTCGTGAGGCTTCTGAAGACGAAGAGACATTATATAAGAAGAGGTCCCAAACGGCTTCCAGCCTCTCGTTTGGCAGATGTCTTCAGGTGGTGGGGAGAGGAGAGGAAAGGGCTGGCCCCCTCTGGGCACCCTCTCAAAGCCCTGCTGGGCCCCTGCTCAGCAGCCTGACCCTTCCTCTAACCTGCATCAGCCCGTTAAGGAAGGGACTCCTCGGAAGCCCTTTTCCTCAGAGAGATAACTGCGTCAGTGGGTGGTAAGGGCCCCACCACCACCCCAAGCCAAGAAAGCAAAAGTCTAGTCTCCTCCAGGTTTCCACCAAAAGCCTCTGTGCAGTTGGGAACATGCGGGCACTCAATTCTGAGGACAGGACAGGCTGCTGCTGCTGCTCTGGGCAAAGCCATAAGCTGCAGATTGGGACAAAAGGTGGCCCAGAATCAGCCACAGGACCACCACTCCCTGGAGGCCTGAGATGGAGGCTCAGCTGGCAAACAACAGACAGCTGTTTATTCTCCTAGGAGCCCAGCTCCCCTGGCCAGGAGATTTCTGGCCCTTAAAGAAAGATTAGGCACATGAAGTCCAAGCTGAGAAACCAAGGCACCAAGAGGTAAGGCTGTGCCCTTTACAGAGGCAGCTGGGAGGCAGGCCCCTGGACTCGACTCTGTAGGCGGCCAGCAAGCAGGGAAACTGAGGCACACCCGGGTAGCTGTTCTCTCCCACACTTGGGGAGTGTGGAATCAAAAGGTAGTAAATGGGGTTCAAAGAAAAAGCCATGGGATGTTCCCAGGAGCTCGGGGAAAGGCCAAAGCAAACCAGGCCTCAGCCAGAGGCTCCTCCGCGGCTGCTGGCAGGCTGACCGCAGGTAACTTGGGCCTTGCAAATCTCCCTCTGGGCTCTTTTGGTCCCGGGGCCGGAAGCTCGGTTCTCCTTCGCAGTACTGCACCGGACGGGAGGCGAGGCTTCAGAGACCTTCTCTGGGACCTCAGCCCCAGGAGCCACTGCCCGCGCGTCCTAGCGGCCCTGGGTGCGGAAGAGCCGGCCTAGGGGGCTGCGCCAGGGCCACACCGAGAGGGCGCGCGGCGGAGAAGCCGCCTCCAGTCCCCGCGGCCGTCCTTCTCCCGCTCGGAGCTGCGGAAAGCAGAGGTGAGAAGTCTTCTCAGTCTGCAGGCGTCCCTACCCCTTCTTGGGCCTCCGTTTCCCTCTCTGTACTAAAAGGGCCAAGAGCTAGCCGAGTCCGCGGTCCCTCCGGGTGCCGGGGGTAACTGGGAGTTTACGAACGTGCACCCGCGGGTTCGCGCGTGCCGCAATCACCGCCTCGCCGGGCTCCGGGGCGCACTTCGGCTTTCCGAAGTCCTTGCTGGTCCCGGGCCCGAGGGCCCTAGACACGCCAGGTTGGAGAGCCAGCCGACGTTTCTCCGCGGCGCAGAGAGCCTCCTTCTCGCCAGAGTGAGGTCTCCCGCGCCTCGCCCCCGAACCCCGGGCGGCTACCCCGAGCTCCCGCCGCCGCTGCCCCAGGCCTCTGCCATGCGCCCCTGGAAGCTTCGGGGAGCAGCCCTGCTCCATCCTCTTTCGCTTTCGATTCGGTGCACGCAGGTTTTCGTTGCTAGCCGCTGACTACCTTGCGCCCCTCTCCCCAGCCCCAAAAGAAGCGCTCACAGCTCAGAGGTCGGGAGACGCGGGCCAGGCCTGAGACCCCTGAGGCGCCGCCGAGGGGTTGGTCCTGATTTGTCGAATTAGACGCAGTGTTTGAACGCTAAGGGCATTTATTTTCCCCCCGCACCGACACAATTTGCACACCACGAAACGTGTAAACTCCGCCCGGGTCCTATTCGAAGTTAGTCAAAGAACCGGCGTGTGGTTTTTCATAAGAGAAACCCAAAATAAGACGGCGAGAATCGGACAAGCAAGAAGCAGTTAAGAGGCGGTGGGTAATTGTAGGATGATGAGAGAAAACTCCAGCCTGGGAGCTGTGCCGTTGCCGACCCCGATCAATTTTGGGGGAGGAGGCAGAGCAGGAAAATGCTTTTAATGCTGTACTTTGTTAATTTCTAGAGCCGTCAGCGTTCTTGAGCCGTTGGCCTAAACACGGATGACCTTAAATAAAATTTAAAAAAACGAAGGCCTGGATTAAAGGTTGAGTATTTTAAATCAATCGATTTGCACAGTTTTCTTTATTATAATTTATGTACAGCGCAGTGCACAGCTAAGTGGAAAGTTCGAAGAACTGTCCCGCTGGGACAGCTACCAGCGGGATCACGATACAGGCATGTAATGTCCCTGAAAATCTCGGGGGGGGGGGGATTTTGGTGAGTTGTTTCAAGAAAATTTCAGAAGAGACTTCAGAAAGTTGGGGTCCGCACCCCCGTTGGTGACGGTGGTGTTTCTTGAGTAGGGTGACACCCGGTCATTTGCGCCACCCGGACTGGAAAACCAGAAACCTCGCGGCAGCAGCCGGCCGTCCCGGTTGGTTCAGGCTGCGCAAAGCAATCGCAGCCGAGGTAGGAAAACAAGCTAAAACACCGTGCATTACATTTCGTCAGAGTCCCTAAGGACTTTCGTTTTGGAGAACAGCTGGGCACACTTTTCCGGGGATGTTCCTTCCTCTGGGCCTCAGCCCCTTTCCTCCGTCCTGCAGCTCTGCGAGCCGCAGTGTTTAGGTGGAAAATTGAAATGCGAAATGGAAATATGGTGGCCTTTGCAGCAGTGGGAGTGCGGGGAGTTGGGCGTCCCACGCGCTCCGTGTGGGTGCGGGCTTCTCCTCCGGCCGGTGTGCCCGAAGCAGCAGGCGGGGAAAACTGCCCGGAGTGCCCGGAGGCTCCAAGGGCAGGGATCGGGAACTGCAAGCCGGGCTGGGTGGTGCTCGTTTTGCCCCAAGGAAAGGGGAGTAGGGAAGAGGGGTTGCGACACGGTGCTAGGTTAGAGAGAGCTCCCTGCGCCCTGAAGCCCGCACCCTGGACACCTCACCCCAGCCCCAATCCCCACCTAGGCCTGGGCACTGTTTTGGGTGGGGCAGTGAGAGCCTGGTTTTGCCTCTGGTCACAGCCTGCCAGGCGCCATCTGGCCATGTGCTCCCTAAGCTACGGGGTTCCCCGGGCTTTGCTGAAGTGACAAGGCGGGTCATCAGATTAGGAAACCAAAACAGCTCCATGCTGATACTGCTCAGTGAATTCAGAATTTAGGACGCCGCTTGTCCCCTTGCTCAGGGACCCTGGGCACCACACGCCTTTG